GATCTTCTAAACATTATAAACATTGAATATAACATTTCTCGTGCAAGTAAAAAGGTAGATCTTCGATGATCTGTTTATATCTAACAGTAAATCTTATCAAATCCAATTTGCTCTAATGGGATCTACATATATCTAATGCAATCACTTCATTTTTCCCGAGGGATCTATTAGGATCTTAGTGGATATAACATTTCTCGTGCAAGTAAAAAATGGATCTTTGAAGATCTATTTATATCTAACAGTGTTGTGAACACGGCGTAGTGCCTCTACGCAGGTAACCCACGGAGTCTTCTCGGGATCGGGCGTGGTCGAGAAACGAGTGTTTTTCTTATTTAAATTCTTTTTTTGACTGAAAAGACTAGGTCTTGAATCGACAGTCTACTATGCTGCACAACACTTTATTGCGCTATTATACAAAAAACCGAAAACGAACGCAGCGGATAAAACAAACGTGACGTCTTCGTCGAAGTGAGGCGAGAGAGAGCTCACGCGTGCGCACCCTCCTCTGTAGCGCCACACACCGATCGGGCGGGAGCACTAAGACCGTCGCGTGAATTCACGACCAGTCGCACCGAGCGACCGATAAGGCAGATCGCATCTAGCAGAGCGCGGCAGTTTGAAACAAACATACGAGGACGAAATGTACCCAACAACGCCGCCCCCCTTGAAAGAACATGATTTCAATATAGGCGATCGGTTCTCTCGAACGCGAGAGATAATTTGACGCAGATCGGATAAATCAGCGCGTAGTGCTTGATTAACCTAAAATAGCACTACCTAAGAGTCATACAATTAAACAGAGCGCTAGACATTAAATGAAGCGAGTAAAAAACAAAAAAAAAACGAAGAAAGGCGCATTGTAATGTAATAAGTGTCGAAGAGGTTACTTATACTAAATAGATACATAATAGAGGATTTGAATGCAGAAACGAAACATAGTCTGCTCGAGCTACAAATGAATGATTGAAAACTATAATCGAATTAATATAACTCACGCATCCAAAGACAATATCGCTAGTTTAGATAAAGGTCTCGTCAACAAACCCTTCGCGGTGCGTACATCTGCGGTTCGTGCGGCGCCGTCAGAACCGACATGAACCTCCTGAACGCGTCCTAACATCCAATGTAATGGGGCTAAGCCCTGTTGTTTCACGAGCACGAGTTGTTTGGTTTTTAGTTGCACGCTCTTACTGGCCTTCCATTTAGTTCTTTCTTGCAAGGAATGGAAATACTCCTTACTCCACCTACGCCAAAAATATTGCCGCATTTGTTCCACTCTTTGCCATTGCGTTAATCTATTCTCATTTACATCATGCAAATCTCGAGAAGGGAAACTATTCATAGTAGTACCAATCAGAAAGTGACCAGGGGTAAGGTAAGACAAATCGTTTGAGTCGGTGCTTAGTTGTGTAAGAGGTCGTGAATTCAAGATCGCTTCTATTTCGCAGAACACGGTTTGCATTTCCTCAAATGTTAAATGACCTTTACCAACAATTCGATACATATGGTGTTTGGCTGATTTGACGGCAGCCTCCCACAAACCACCAAAATGCGGAGCGTTTGGTGAAATGAAATGCCAAGAAGTCTCTTGCTCACGGGGAAACTGCTTGACGTCGTTTTGCACTTGCTCACTATTTATGAAATCTCGAAATTCTTCAAGCTGTCTGCATGCACCAACGAAGGTGGTCCCATTATCCGAGTATATGCAGGCAGGCTTGCCTCTTCGTGAGATAAATAAGCGACGAAATGCACTAAGAAAGGCATCTGATGTCAAGTCACTGACTAGCTCGATGTGAACCGCCTTCGTAGCGAAGCATACTAAAATTGCAATGTATGCCTTATGATTACGTGCATTACGTCGCTTGCCCTCTCGTACTATTAGGTGCGCAACTAAGTTCTCGCTGTTTTTTTTTTTATGAAAATGCAACTTTATTGTGAAAAAATGGTTACAAATGAATCATTCAAAGTATTGCCCATCGCTAGCTACAACTTTTTCCCATCTTTCTAGCAGAGCTCGAATACCGTTACGGTAAAAGCGTTCGTCTTGTGAGGCTATCCACGAATCAAGCCATTTTTTGATGTCTTCATATGAGCGGAACTGCTGATCAGCCAGACCATGTGCCATCGAACGGAACAAGTAATAATCGGACGGCGCAATGTCTGGGGAATATGGCGGGTGGGGTAGGACTTCCCATTTCAGCGTTTCCAAGTAGGTTTTAACGGGTTTGGCAACATGAGGCCGAGCGTTGTCATGCAGTAGAATCACTTTTTCGTGCCTCTGCTCGTATTGTGGCCGTTTTTCGCGCAGTGCTCGGCTCAATCGCATCAATTGAATTCGATACCGTTCCCCAGTGATGGTTTCGTTCGGTTTCAACAGCTCATAATAAATAACACCGACCTGGTCCCA